CCCCAAAACCCCAAAACCCCAAAACCCCGTCAGGATACTTAAAAACTGAACTAAAGCTATTCTTTAACAAGTCTTTTGAATTTCTCATACATTATTGCTACTTTTTCTGAGTTTATGTCCTGGAATATCTCATTATAGGCTACAATGTCCTCTTTAAATACAGATAAGCTCTGGGGCTTTTTACTAACGACAAGATCAGGCTTTTTATAATATACAAGAAGGGTCTCAATTGTGTTCCCTGCAAGAGACTGTAGAAGCCTTGTAGCGTTATGAGTGTGGTCATCTTGGTCAGAAAGAATCTTGAAGAAGGGTTGAATAAAGCTTTTGACTTCATCTCTTGCGATAGCATTTACTTCAACAATATCAGCCTTCTTTGCTGATTTCAATTTTCTCAAACACTTAGATAGAATGTAATGACAGTGAAGATTGATCTTCTCGATTATTTCTTGATTCGCCACTTTTATCAAAGTAGCCATGTTTGAAAGGATACTTTCTCTGTCAACCTCGATATTTTTGATCAGCTCTTTTCTAGAGCTTATTCTTTGTAAGATCTTAGTTACTTTACCCATGCAGACCTGGACTAATTTTTCTAATGAAAAGACAAATTTGAAGTATTCAACTGGAGGCCTGTAGCTTGCTTTTTGAGATACTAACTGATCAGAGTGTCTTGATTTGAAGAATATTAATTTCTTTTCCTCTTCAGCAGGCTTATCAGGTATCATACCTTGTTCCTGTTCAATAGCGTCTAAATATTCAGTAATCTTCGATCAGAGTTCCATAAAGTAATTATTTATCAACTCAAAGTATAAGTTAACAATTGTTTTCACAGTCTTCTCGAGGTCTTCTTCAAGAGGAATGTCAAGAACTCTTTCGCTTATTCCTAAGGAATGATTTGTTCCTCCATTATCATCTTCCAACATCAATGCAGAAGTATGAACTACCATTGCTAGTTTGAAGAAGAAATTATCTTTATCAGCCTGGCCTCCTAGTCCTTTCCCAACAATATTGATTTTATCAAAGAAATTTCTTTCATGCTCAAGGATGATTTCTGGCATCTTGATTTTCTGAATCTCTGTTATCTACAAGCTCAGTTATTTTACGCCAGAAAGGCTGGATGAAATCTTAATTGGCATGGTTGCTTACCTTCTCTTGCAACTTCTCACCCACATTATTTCTTAGCACAGCTTGCTCTTTGGTCAAATACATTTTTCTGAAAGGAATGAAGATCTCTTCTAAAATGTTTTCAATCGAGGTTTCATTCCCTATCTTAAGCTGCTTTGTTACTAATAAGATCTTCTGTTTGAAATTTTTGAAAGAAATTATAGCTGTGTACAAGATGCAGCAGAAAGTTTCCTTTGATCTCCCCTCTGTTTCAAGGAAAGTCAAAATGAATGACTTATAGTTTCAGGTTAAGTATTTGTGAAGCAATGAGTTACTGAACCTTGCACGATGAGGAAAACCTTCTTTAAAACGTCCATTAGTCAGAGAGAATTCTCTCTGTAATCTCATGAGGATATCTTCGTGTACAGTTTCAATGAACTGTTTATAAATCTTCTCATTAGTCTCATTAGGTGAGATTGGTTTGATTTTTAACTCATTTATAAAGAAATCTGTATATATTCTCACAGCATTTTCAAGTCTTCCGATAGTCTCAAAAACTCCGATTATCTTCTGTGTTTCCATGTTGTACACAGGAGCTTCTGCATTTGCAGAGTGTGAATTCTTGTTTCTATCAGATTTGCCTTTTCCAACCAGAAGATCTTCCAACTCAAGTTCTAGTCTTTGGATAAATTGTTTATGCATACTGATGCAGTTTTCTTTAGCTATCATAAAGTCAGAATTGACAATGTCCTTGCTCATTTCACCAAGGATATGTATCTCTTTCGCATAGCTGTTGTTTTTAGTCAGATCATGTATTATTTCCAGGCTTTGGTCTGAGTTTGTGTTAAGCTTTTGAAATAAAGTTACAATATCAGAGGTGAGCTTATAGTTCTTCTTCTCAGTATCTAAAGATTTTAGCCTTTCATGCACAGTCTGAGACCCTCCTGATAGCTTTTCATTAAAAAGGAAAGTAGAGATATTCCTATCCATGTGGTTAACCAGTTTTGTGGAATTATTGTACATCTTCTCAATATCTTCAATATCTAAAATTACTGTGAACTTTGAAGAAAACAATGGCAAATACCTAAAGTAAAAGATTCTGTATTCTGACTGACTCCATGCTCCACAATCTCTCCATCCATTTTATCCAGTACCTCCTTTAACTGACTTGTCTGCATATCCAAAAACTCATGTACTTGCTTATAATCCACAGCCGCTCTAAACCCCTAAAACCTGCCTCTTACCCCAAATCCTGTCCATCCTGCCCCTTAACTTCCTCCCAATCCCCCCTTCTGACATACTCCTCCATTATAAACTCTCACGACTGCTGAATAGTCTTCGCTCCATCAAAAGTCCCTTCCTCAAGCTGTACTATAAAGTCATTCTGGCCTGCACGGGGGTCTGGCTGGCTCCGTTCAAAAGGAATATCCATGATTTATATTATAGAATTTGAGGAGTTTAGGGGTTTTGGGGTTTTGGGGTTTTGGGG